ATATAGCAACTGTGAATTATTGGGAATGGTAAGTAAACGATCACCCTAAAAGAAGAAAATTAGGGTCATTTGTGAGAAAAGCAAAGAATTATGTGAATTCCACAAAAATAGTACTTTTTGTCTCTTTGGTCCGCTGATCCGTTCCTAGAAAACTTAGTAGCACACAGTAGATGCTTTATAAATTTTGACTAAATGAATAATGAATGATAGAGAATAGTGTTAGTATTTAATGGTTACTGTTTTTGGTTCTCTAATGCCACTCTAACAGAAAATACCACAAATGGGTGGTTTTAACAAATAGGGATTTATTCTCTTAAGTGTGGAGACTACAAGTCTGAGTTCAAAGTGCCAAGCTATAGGGGCTGGGTGAAAGCCCCTTGACCCTGGGCTTCAGCTCTGCCTCTTATTCCTGGCCCACTGGAACTAGAGGTGTCTCTTCACTCAGGCAGCTGAGGCTGCTGAGGCTAACAAGCGCAAGGCTGACAAATAAAATGGCACAGTCCCGATGTTACCAAACAATACAGCAGGATACTAGTTCAAGTCCAGAGACAGTCCCACGATTGGCAGGAAACATGGCTAAATGAAGACTCAGCTACATGCAGGGTCCAAGCATGCTGAAAAGCTGTAGAGACCTTTCTCAAAACTTCTTACATACTGATAGCAGACCACATCCCTAAGGCAGCTACTCAGCTGCTCTAGTAGATTCCACCTTGGAGTTGATTACCAATCCCATCATGGGGAATAATTGCCTCCAAGTGCCCAGCCACTCAGCTGGGCCAAGACAAGTTGAAACATAACCTTAACAACCACAGTTACTGTGTTGATGGGTTTAATATTATTTTGAGTCTTCCATAATCCATAAGCTCTTAGGAGTTTTATTATGTAATTTATTTCATTAAATGTTTCTTTCTCACTTTGAAAGCCTCAAATATGGTTCTATTTTCAGGAAAAACAATGTAAATAGTTCAGTAGAGGTAGTTAACTTACTGTCAATTTTCTTGACAGAATAAACGCTTAAAGGATGAACAGATTTGGCACATACAGAACCTACTAAAGGAACTGAGTGAAGACAAGACAAAGGGAGCACAAGTTGTAACAAGAGAAAATGTTGAAGCAGCAATGAAAGAAAAATGGAAGTTTGAAAGAGACCAGGAACAAAATTTGAAAGGTGATTTAGGAAAATTATCATAAATCTGTATCAAGTTATTATCATAAACCTGTATCAAGTTATTATCTTAAACCTATATCAAGTTATTTCTTAAATGTATTAATGCTTTTTTCCTCACAATACATTCAAAATGCTGTGAACATATTTCACATGCCATTATTACCACCATAACCACAAACATTTAGGCAAATGGATGGGAAAGGGAAATAATGAAGTAGGCTGAGATATTGAACTAACTGAGGAGGAGGAAGTAGGGCAGTGAACAAAAGCAAAGACAAATGAAAACTATCTGACTCTTAACATCACATAAACCAAAAACCAAACCAAACTCACTGCTGTCAAGTCAATTCGACTCATAGTGACCCCTCCTTGGGTTTCCGAGGTGGTACCACTACGGAAATAGATTGCCTGATCTTCCTTCCAAGAAGTGGCTGGTGGGTTTGAACTGCCAGCCTTCTAGTTAGCAGTCAGTAGAATTCTATTAAACATCACTCTGAGCTTCTCCTCACAGTGGAGGTTTGTTCTTTCTTTTGGAAAATAATTTTGTTTGGTGGCTTCAACCTTGGTTTAGACTTGGGAATGATAAAGTTAATATAACTATGATACTTTTTCTCCCAGTATTTTAAAGAAGCTAAACCCTCATTTAGTTGGAGAAAAGAAGGATTAGTGTAGAGAAAGGAAAGTTGGGAGGACATGTATGAAAATGATGCTAGGTGCAGGTGATGAAACACGGAGGATATACTCCTCCCATGGGCTTAGAAATACCATGGTCACATACAGTTTTGACACTGTGCAGTTTTAATTCCTTTTATTTCATCCTAAACTTGCTGCCAGTATTTCTCAAACTACTTTTGCCAGCTTCTACACAAACCATCCTCTGTTAGGAAGATGGAAAACATGGGAAAGAGACTAGAACACTATCAGGAATCACTACCAAAAGCTGAAAAGTAAAACAAGGGTTTTCCTCAATTTCTCCAAGTATTTCAAAGTAACAATGTACCTTAGAACTTTGCACAGAGCAGGCACTACATTCAACTGGTATTTATTGTTTTGGATGAAACTGTTTCCAGGACCAAATACCAGTGGGCAATCTTCATTTATACAGCTTCCCAAACCTATCTTCATAAGCCTCCTCCTACCTATGTCTCTTCATTGACAATAGCAATGCCATGAGGTGGTAGAAATAGTTTTTTGCAGTACTCCTTTCTGGAAGAGTTCTGCTTGTGTTTGGAAGAAATATTTTAATAAATCCCTTTAGGGATTTAGCATCCACAAAGGATGCTCAGGCATACTCACTAAACTGTCTTTTAAGGGGAATGACTAAGTTAAGGTATGCCTGTTTATGTTTTGGTCTGAGCACTGGAGCATTTATGTTATACAAGTCTGGGCTCAAGCTGGATGGCTCAGCACAATAGAGGAGGGCTGGCATGTGTTGTGGTCCAAGAGAGAAAGAGGCCTACAGACTCTAAGGAAGAGTGGAAAAGTGAGAAAACGTGTCTGAAAAGGGTTTCCAAGGCAGTTTGTTATGAATCATACCAGGCAGTCCTTTGAAACTCAGTTTGATTTATGGAGCAGCAGTGGTGACTTCATCTGGTAGCTTGTGCCACCCAGATCTGCTGAATCAGAAACTGCATTTTGACAAGATCTCAGGGGATTCCTATGCGCACAAAAGTTTGTGTATTGCTGATGTAATGCCTTTCTTCAAACTTTTAGTTAAGACTCTGTCTTGCAAAGGGGAAGATCCAACTCAAATTAGCCTAAGCATAAAGGGATGCATAAATTTTCATATAACCAAAGCACAAAAAATACAGGGTGTTGCTGACCTGGACCCAGAGCTTCAAATGCTGTCAGATCTATCTTTTTTTTTTTTTTTTTTAAATCTGTTTATCTCTGTCTCTCTTCCTCCTGCAAGTTGGCTCTTTTTTTCTCAGGCTGTTGCATCCTTTTATCCTCAAAAAAGAGAGAAAGGAGGCATGTTTTCCACCAGTTCCAGTGAAAATATTTGCTAAATGTTATCTTGGGGCACATGCTCACCCTGGACAAATCCCTAGAGCCAGGAGAGAGGGCCAATGTTCTTGATCTACTTAGTTGGCAAGGGGGGGGGGTAGGAGAAGTTTGTTACTAGGAGGGATTCTGGGCAAAAAGGACAATAGTCGCTTTATCAGTCTCTCATAGGAACTCTTCAATGACCTCAACCCTCCCCCACAAAGGCTGAATGTGACATAGGACTGAGACAGCAGCTATCTGCTGAGGGCATAGAATGGCTACCCATCTGGGTTACAGGAATATTAACAATTGTTTAAATTGCTATAAAAAGTGCTATTTATTAAGGGGTTTAAAAATATATATTGTCATTTACATTTTTGGAAAAAGATGTCTCCAGAGTTCTTCTGGACCTCTGGACTAAAGAGCAGCCCTCTGGCCTGACTGGAGTGCTTCAATAAACATTTACTGAGGCCCAACTAATTGCCAGGCTCTTTGCTAAGTTCTGGATTTACTGGGATGAATGAGACATGGTCCTGACCTCAGTACGCTCTCAAATGTGGTGGATGGTGCTGAGCCAAGCAACCATTAAGTTAATTGCACTCAGCAATTTGTGATGCTTCCTTTCCCAAAATATTCAGCAACATGATACTCAGGCATACAGATTGAGTAAAATTAGTGTGTTTATCAAGTGTACCAGGGAAAAGTGAAAGTTTATATGGTTAAGACAACTCAATATTTGTACATAATTAACTGAGGAACTTATCTTTCACTCTGAAGTCTTAGTTACAAGGATACAGGAGCTAGGGGTGGTAGTTAAGTTTGTGTGTCAACTTGGCTGGGCCTGAGTATCTGGGCAGCTGGATGTAGTATTTCCCATGATGAGACTGGTAATCAACTCCATGGTGGAATCTACTGTGAGCAGCTGAGAAGCTGCCTTAGGGATGTGGTCTGCTTCCTGTATACGAGGAGAAGCCTTTGGGAATGGTCTCTAGCTTATGGCACACTTGAACCCTGCTTGTAGCCGTGTTATTGTTTAGCAACCTGCCATGCTCTGCCAACCTTGGGACTTTCAGTGGATTTGAATGAATGGCCTCCCATGTGGTTTGGTAACATCAAGACTGTGCCTTTTTACTTGTCAACCTTGGGCTTGTCAGTCTCAGCAGCCAGCAGCTATCTGAGTGAAGAAAAGCCTCTAGTTTCAGAGGGCTGGCAAGAGGCAGAGCTGAAGCCCAAGGCTGAGGGGCTTTCACTCAGCCTCTGGCACTTTGAACTCCAACTTAGAGCCTCCAAACTGTGAGGGAATAAACTCCTATTTGTTAAAGCCATCCCATTTGTGGTATATTCCTGTCAGAGCGGCACTAGGTAAACAGAACAGAGAGTAAGACACGTTATTGTGAACTATAATTTCATGCAAGGGTAGTCCAAACAAATAAACTTTAGAAGACTTAATCAAACAACTTACTTATAAAAATGGTTGCCAAAGATCTGGGAGGGACATAAGTTTAAATCAATTTTTGTCCACACAGGCAAAATGGCCAGGAAAATAACAATTTACTAATAAAGAATGTATGTGATATAATGTTGTTTGTTGTTACATCTGTTGAGTTGGTTCCAACTCATACAGACCTTATGCAGTGTAGTACATTACACAAAATAGGACCATTATCAAACTATCACAAAATAATTTAAACTTGCATGTTGTTAAACATATAGGTTATCTATGTCTCTGGATCACAACCCAAACCTACACATCTATTTTGTAATCAGACAAGTTTAATTTTTATCTGGATTTTGAATTATGAGGAAAAGATAAACAGTAGTTTGAATAGATTTTACTAAATTGAAGGTATAAAATAGTATTCATGAGTTAATAGCATTTTAATATATATTGACTTAAAATCAGATTGCTTTGTATAATTGTTATAAAGACAATAGGAATGACATGGTGGCTTGATTTTCTTTCAACAGATATGCGCACACAAATAAGTAATGCTGAGAAACTATTTCTTGAGAAACTCAGTGAGAAGGAATATTGGGAACAGTACAAGAATGTAGGGAGTGAACAACATGCTAAACTCATTACGTCCTTAGAAAATGACATCAATACAGTTAAAGAGAATGCAAGGAAAATGTCAGGTCAGTTGCAACAAAGCTAATTTAATAAATAATGTTTAGAGAACAGATATTTAGTGGAATTAAAAACTGGATATTCCCTGAATCATTTGTTACTCTCTGCTGTCAGGGCAACAGTGAGCCTAAAAGTAAAGGTGGAGGGAAAGTAGAGACAAGATCCCAGGACCAGCTATGAGAAGGGGAAATAAAGGGGATTGGGAATCCTGTGACCAACTGACTTCAGGAAAGCTTTATTCAATGGTAGTGTCTGCACACTCCCATATACCTACGTCTGGTGCAATTCCACCCAGGTGGGAGGATCTCAGTGGGGGAAGGGGACAGTGTTTGTTCAGTGATAGAATTCTAGTTTTCATGTGGGCAATCTGTTCAATTCCTGGCCAATACATCTCAAATATATCCACCACTATCAGTATAGGCTTATATGTTGCTATGATACTGAACAGGTTTCAGCAGAGCTTCCAGATTAATGTATACTAGGAGGAAAGGCCTGGCAATCTACTTCCAAAAATTAGCCAGTGAAAACCCTACGGATTGGTATGGTGTAGTCTGATTGTGCATGAGGTCTCCGTGAGTCAGGAGCTGACTTGGTGGCTGCTAACAGCAAGAGTATACTGAGACTGGATTAAATTAGAAAGGAAATTCACCTGTGGCAAGCCAAAGCATCTTTGCCAGGCTGAAACACCAAGATCATTATATAGAAACGCCCATGTTAATGCTAAGTTGCAGTCTGAAAAAAACCTAGAGAACAAATGTGAGATAAGATGGGGAGAGGGTACAGAGCAGGATGGCAATGAGTGTGGTAAAGCTTACCAGGGCCAGAACTGGGTACAAAGGGTGTATGTGTTGGCCCTATCATTTAACACAAGGTCACCTGTCTGCCTTTAATTCTGGCCAAAAAGTACGTTGGGGATGGATGATAGTCCAGGCCCTAACTGCAAGGGCCTGCTGGAATGCTCTGCTTCTGGACCAAGTTTTATATAAGTTTCTCAGCTCAGTGGCTCTGTACCCCAAAGATAGTATGAATTTGGTCCCATATTAGTCTGGATTGGAATTTCAACTTCTCAAAAGATTCTTCTCCCCAAATAAAGGTAGAGAGCGAATGTGACACCCTCCTACCACTGTCTATCCTCTAGCCACTCAGATCCTCTCCCTATCAGAAACTTTTACCAGTTTCTTGTGTAGCCTTTTGTAGAAATATTCTATACATATGTTAATGTATATATAAATATATATAAATCACAAATAGCATGCTATAGATTGGTTTTCCACTTGCCTTGTCAGGTAACAATATGGACATCTTTATAGATCAGTATATATTAGTTCTGCATCATTCTTTCCTACATGGTTTGGTTGTATTATATTTTTTAAAACTTGTCCCCCTACATATAAGCATTTAGGTTTTCGGTCTTTTACTATTATAAATAATGCTGCAATAAATATCCTTATACATATCTCATTTTATTGTGATGAATATCATATACTTATGTCTTTTTACTTATGTTTATCTCTAAAGAGGAATAGCTGGGCCAGAAAATCAGCTTATTTTTATTTCAATAGGCATAGAGATTGTACCAAGTTGCATCCCCACCAATGTACATGAAAGGAATATTTCCCCACATTTCAACAGTAGGGGGTGTTATCCAATCTTTTGTTCTTTGCCAGTCTTATTGGTAGAAAATTGTATCTCATTGTCGTTTTAGTTTCCATTTCTCTTAAAAGTGAGAATAAATATCTTTTCATAAGTTTAAGATCCATATGAATTTTCTTTTCTGTGGACCATCTGTTTACATCCTTTGCCCATTTTTCTATTGTATTGTGGAGTTCTTTACATTGTAAAGAAATTAGATTTTTATCTGTGCAAATATATTGCAATTTATCATTTATTTTGTGTTGATGGGCCTTTTTATGAGGAAATTTTTTACCTTTTGTAATTTTATAATGCCTAATTTATCAGTGTTTGATTTTGTAATCTCTGTGATTATGAATAAATTTTTCAATATTTTCTTTTGAAATTTTTAATCATTCTATTTTTATATTTAAATCTTTTATCTTTTTTTGTATGAGCTAGGAATTGAACTTTACTTTTTGCCAAGCAGTTTTTCTGTGGTCCTCACATCATTTATCAAATAACCCACTTTTACCCCACTGATTTGAAATGCTACTTTTATCATACTTTAATTTCCTGTGTGTGTTTGAGTCTCTTTCCATACTTTCTACTCTGCTTTATTGGTCTGTCTATGTATATGTCCCCCCTACTATACTTTAAAAAGAATTATTTTTCTGCTATGTTTAAAATATATAAAATATTTTATCTAGCTTTTCTTCATTTTACATTTAAAGTAGGAAGAATTATATGATCACATATAAACTTAACTCATTATCTTGATCAGAAATTTAGATGATTTCTTTTAGCTAAAAATTTTCACTTTATTGTATCCAACTTTTGGTGGTAATAACAACATTTATATAGTGAATTACTTGCTGGTCCAGCCTTGGGATATAACAATTTTAGGTACTATGGAGAAATGGTTGTTATGGATTTGTCTTTTATGCCATTTTAGGTGTTTCTCCTTACCATACAGGAAACAGCAATAACTCTGCTAGTAAACTATTAAAACAGGTTGGTGGTTACCAGTTGGATACAACAAATACAAGCAGCCTTCTAAATCAGTCTATCCAAAACTTTACTACCATTCTCTCTTCTTTTTCTCCTACCTCCTCCCTTTTACAGACCCCCTTGCTCCATGATTTTGCTGGAATTCTCCTTCCACACCTATAATAATGGAGTTTGTTAGTGTTGTAACAAACACTGACATATAAAGTAACAACAACAAAAATTAACATAGCATAAAGTATGTTAGATTTCTTTAGTTGCAAGGAACAGAGATTGACTCAGTTTATCTTAGAAAAAAGGGAAGTTATTTTAGTGAAAGAGAATAATAAAATGGAACTTTTTTTTTGTCGGATATAATGGAAACCATATTGCTAAGTGAGATTAGGTACCACCATGAACACTCACAATATTCTGAGGCAGAAAACCAATATTGCACTTCAACCACTGATTCCAGCCTATGAAATAAATTGGAATTCAGAGGGAAACTTATAGCAATAAATGCATACATGAAAAAAGAAGAAAACACTCACAATATTTTGAGGCAGAAACAGTATTGCACTTCAATCACTGATCCCAGCCTATGAAACAAGTTGTAACTCAGAGGGAAACTTAGAACAATAAATGCATACATGAAAAAAGAAGAAAGATCTCAAATCAACAGCCTAATACTACAACTTGAGGAACTAGAAAGAGAAGAGCAAGCTGAGCCTAAACTTACCAGAAGAAAGGAAGTAACAAAGATCAAAGCAGAAATAATAAAATTGAAAACAGAAAAATAATAGAGGATCAACAAAACCAAAAGTTGGTTCTTTGAAACGATCAATAAAACCTTTAGTTAGACTAACAAAGATAAAAGGAGAAAAGATGCAAATAACCAAAATAAGAAATGAAAGAGGAGACATTGCAACTAACCCAATAGAAATAAAGAATATTATAAACAACTTACAGCAGCAAACTGGATAACCCAGATGAAATGGACAAATTTTTAGAAGCACACAGCCTACCCAAACTGACTCAAGAGGAAATAAAAAGTCTCAACAAACTCATAACAAGTGAAGAGATTGAATCAGTGATCAACCCCCTCTCCTCAAAAAAAGTCCTGGAGCTTAATTAGGGAATTCAGTGACACATTTATAGAAGAATTGACATCAATACTGCTTAAACTCTTCCAAAAAATAGGGAAGGAATACTTCTTAACTCTGATACCAAAACAAGAGAAAGACACCACAAGAAGAGAAAACTATAATCCAATATCCCTTATAAATATAGATGTAAAAATCCTCAATGAAATACTAGCAAAAAAAACTCCAATAGCATATTTCAAAAAATAATACACCATGACCAAGTGAGATTTATTCCAGGAATACAAGGATGGCTCAATATTTAAAAAATCAATCAACATAATACACCACATCAATAGAACAATGGGAAAATAGCCACATGGTCATCTCTATGTTTGCAGAAAAAGCATTTGATAAAATCAAACCCCTGTTCTTGATGAAAACCCTCAAGAAAATTGGAATAAAAGGGAAATTCTTCAATATTATTCAGGGCATATATGAAAAATCAACAGCCAATATTGGTGAACGATTGAGAACTTTCTCTTTGAAATTGGAACTAAGATAAGAGTACTCACTCTCAACATTCTATTCAATATTTTATTAGAAGTCCCAGCCAGAGCAATGAACCAGAACCAAACTCACAGCCATATAGTCGATTCCAACTCATAGAGACCCCCTTTGGGTTCCAAGGTGATAAACCTTTATAGAAGTAGATTGCCCAGTCTTCCTTCTGTGGAGTGGCTGGTGGGTTTGAGCTGCCAACCTTCTGGTTAGCAGTCAAATGCCTTAGGCACTACACTACCAGAGCTCCTTAACCAGAGCAATAAGACAAGAAAAAGAAACGAAAGGTATACATATTGGAAAAGAAGAAGTTATATTATCTCTATCTGCAGATGATATATATATATAGTTTCAGTAAATGGTACCAGGAAAATTGGATTTCCACATACAGAAAAATGAATCAGAATCCATGCCTCACACGATACACAAAAACAAATTCAAAGTGCAATAAGAACCTAAATATGAAAACTAAAACCACAAAATTCTTAGAAGGAAATACAGGAGGAATGCTGTCAGGCCTACCTTTTAATAGGATTATCTAATATAATCATTATGGAAGCAGATTGCCTCATCTTTCTCCTGCAGAGCAACTGATAGGTTCAGACTACCAACCTTTTGGTTAGCAGCCAAATGCCTTATTAACCACTGCACAGGGTTGCACAGCTGATTAACGTAATTGCTGTCAATAAGTTGTATACCTGCAAAAAGTTTAATTGGCAAAAGTTGAGTGATATATTTACAACAGTGAAAAAGTAGCTGCTGAGGCT